GAAGTAAGTTTAGTTCTATTATTTATTNTTATATATATATATATATATATATATAATAAGGAATGAAAATTTTTTTGTGAAGCTTTTTTATAATGAAAAATTCCATTATATATGAGCAGTGTTGACTGTCATGTGATTAAGAATGATGGATTTGGGGTTTCCACATTACACTTTTAGCTGATGTCGCTGAAATTTTTTTATCTTTTGTTTGCACAGAGACTTCATTCATTAAACTACATGGAACATTCTGCTAAGTTTTAATCATGTAAAATTTTCATAACACTTTAAGCAGACATATCTCCAAAACAGAACATTTATTTCGTCATGCATTTGCATGCTCATTTTTGATAAACAACTTAATTACATTTGCAATTCTTATTAATTAGATTGATGTGCTGTTTTTAATATATGTTTGCAATGTTCGTCATCTACACTATAATGCTGCTTCATGTTTTCAATGTAGTTCTAGGCTTTTTAAGAACTTATCTTTATCGATGGTCGACCAATACATGGAGGATGTGTAACATTACTTTACTTTGCAATTGTAATTTTTACCAAACGTTTTCAAAAAATATAAAATTTTGGATCTCTTCCTTTCCTTTTCTACCTCTTTGTTCTTTCATTTAGTCTGTCTATTGCCCTCGAACAGTTTCGAGAAGGTGCGTTTATGTAATGAAAGCTATTTACGTATTTTTGGATTTTAGAATTGATTTGTTAACTTTTTATCATCCTTCCATTCAGCAGACTGATTGATTTTATTTCATGTCCCTTTGAAAATGATATTTACTCTTTTAGCTGATGAATATCAGTTCGCCTTTCGGGTTCGCTGAATGGTTTAATTAAGTCCTCTTCCTCGTGAACTTCAAAAAATTTTCCTTTGAATGTTTTTTATTTTGATACATTCAGTTTTAGTTATCCCCGATATTTCCAACACATCATCGAAATAACTTTTCTGTAATATACGTTGTTACCAACGAATTAATAATTTTTTAATTTTTGAGTTCATAGAGATAAAATAAATCCATTTTGGATAAACTGGAGCAAAACATTTCCAGAATTAGACCGTTTATTTTGCTGCACAAATAAAATTCCTGGAATGATTTGAAAAAATTGTACTCTGCTTCTCATATGATGAAATTGTTAAATTAAGTTAAAGAACTTTGTGATTTGTGATGCGAACATAAAGTTTAAGATAGTTTGTTGCCGTGGTTAGGAGATTTTTACACGTTCCTTAGTTTTTTTCGCACTTTGTTTACTTTTGTTAGTTCATTTTTCCTTGAGAGAATGATTCATACCAGCCTGGAAATCGTATATCTCTTTCTTACCATTGTCTTTAACTGTTTCTTCGAAATGTTCCTGCTATCGGAAGCTTCTAAATTTCGTTATTTTTGGTTCTGTTAGATTCCAGACAAAGAGAACTAGACGGAAAGATTGGAGGATAGAACAAGGAATTATGTTATTTCGAAATAAATGAACTTGAATGTTCACTTCATCTTTACGCTGCTCTTTCACTTTTTAATTCTGCTTAGTTCGTTTATTCTCAGTGGATGAAACTGTTCAGTTTGCTGAACAAAGGTCTTTTTGTTTTACATTTCAATGGTCTTTTTGTTTTCCGCCAAATCTCATTCCTTTCTTTTACTTTTGGTTTTCAGGAGTTGATTTCTTCGAGATCTCATTTTCACAATTCATTTCAATTTCATCATAAACTATGTATGCCGTTTTGTTTCGCATTCACTTATCCATGGTTCAGTTTTGTTTTTGGAGGAATCAAACTTTATTATGCATGATTTGCTTGTTATAATTTGATACATAGATCTAAACGTTAGCTAATGTAGATCGAAGATGAAGTTGAATTGGTAGGGATGTTTCATTCATAGATATTTTTTGCTTTATGAATGTACTTTTTTAAAAATATTAGCAATTTTGGAGACATTTATATTAAAGATTTGTTTTCCATAGATTCAGACTATAATGCCTCATGCAAAAATTTTGATATAAATTGATGAATTACGCCTGAGGTTCAAGTTGATGATTTCTCATAAAAACAGCATAACATAATTAGTGGAATATTGAGTTGAACGTAGACAGTTGTTGAATTCCGAATCCTGATTACATGGATATGGTTGTTTTCTTGTTGGAATCTTTCGGTTTTTGAATTAGAATCCATAATAATCATCCCATAGTGAATGTTATGAATGTTAGCTATAATTTCCACTGCTATCGAGTTATTTGTATTTTCTTGCTTCGTTTAACTGAAAGCCATCGTGGTTGCTATTGACAATTTTATAATATATATAAACTTATATGTTTACTGTACGTGTCAACCTGCTGATGATGATAATGACTATAACGATAACGTGGTGTCGCTTAAAGCATAGGTAGTTGGATGGTCCTCTTAAACTGGACTGATTCATGCAGTTTTCTTGTATCTCTCCATTTCTCTCAAAAATGATCCTGATTTGAAAAGGAATGGAAAGAAAAAACGTGTCTAATTGTCGATAAACACCATTCTAGAATTGTTTTTTTCTCTTCGCTTAGTTTGATATACGACATACCATTTCAACTTAAGAATGTTTGCATGTTTCATTCCTCGTTATCCGATAATAGTCATCAAAAATCTACACCATCTGTAGATTGGTCACAGTTCCTTAATACAGCTCTGAAATTCATGGTTCTAAAAGTAATTTGCAAAAGAATTGATTTCTGTTGAGTATATCTTATGTAACTTTCTTTAGCAAATATCCTTCGCTGTTTTTATCTCATAACTTATTCATTCTATGAATCATTTTCCGTGCTATCAGTTTCCTAAAATTTAACATTCTTAATTTGAATACGTATACCTATAACATGATTTCTAAATTTTTAAAATCTCTCGTTAGTGAAATGTCGACGACATTGCTATTCCGCTTCCGTTCTCTAACGATATAAGAGGAAAAACGCTTGTTTATTATCACAAGTGAATAATTCTCCGTTGCATTTTCTGTTCAGTGGATGCCGGTTTGTCCATACCCTCCTAGAAATAATTTTGCAACTTCAAAAATATATTTCGGGGAATAAAACTACTATTTGCATTTTTCTTCATTTTGTGTTTTTTCATTAAATTTTTTTTCGTTTTACTTTTTCTTCATCACAAATGCTTTTCCACTTTTTTTTCCACTTTTATTTCATCGAACTTCAAGTTTATTTATTATTCTGCTTGTGATTTTCACATCTCCCATCAAAAAATCAGCGTAAAAAGTTCTTTTCCATTTCAACAAGTTCTTCTCAATGGAAAGATTCATTTCCTTGCATTGCTCTAATTAATTGGTACAAAATTGCATTTGTATTTGTTAGCGATAATTCTCTTTACCCTTCAAAAATTCGGTTTGGGTATCTCAAGGAAAAGAGTAAAAATGTTAACGAATAAACGTTGTCAAACAGATCGACAAGGTGCATCTGTGTACCAATTCTTGAACTCATGAAGACATGATCAGTGATTAAAAGGGACTATTCTAAAGTTGGCATGATGAGTCTCCATGATGAGTGTCAACAAGAAGGGATTAAATGCTGGTGCTGCAAGCAACAGCGTTGTGAACGGCTGGAGGACTGAACAGCACTATCACCAAAAGGATTTGTATCCTGAACTAATAGCCGATACTGATAATCTTTTAGATGCTGTAAGCGATAACATGATATGGATTTTCTGTTCTTATTGTGATTTGTTTTCAAGTGTTATTCTGACGCAACTAGGAATTGAATACAGTTCGGCATATTTTTGTCTTTGTGAACATGCGTGGTCATTTATGTTCCTGGTGATTCAGATTTATTTCATATACCAATGGTATTAAGAGCTAGTATTGTACATCGACTGTGTAACGATCTTACATTTGATATCGAAAAATTAAACTTAATAATTCATTGTTGTACACGTTAACTGCTATGCATTTGTAGTTTCATCGCCGTCATCACCATCACGGACTACAGCTGGAAATACGATAGCAGCAGCAGAGATAGCAGAAATAATGCATCGGCAAGAGCCATCTAGAAGTCGAGTTAACGCGCAAAATCGGAATCTGCAGTCACAACAGAACGGTAACAATAATGACGGTTTTACAACGCTTGTACATGGAACAGTGGATGATGATCGAAGACGAAAACGTTTCCGTCAGCGTGTCAATAAGAAGGGATTAAATGCTGGTACTGCAAGCAATAGTGGTCGAACGGCTGGGAAATTGGAAACAAGTAATATATATTTACTTGATAGAATGATTTCTTCAAAAGGGTTTATTGGGGAAGGTCAACATTTTTCTTATATTTTTGCTGTAAAAAGTAGCATTAAAATCAAAATTTCAACTCAAGCAACTATTAATTTACATGATTTTCTGAAAAGCTCTTTTACATCCTCTCGTAAATTTATGTTTTTTGAATTCTATAATACATTTTTTACTAGCTAACTATCATTGTTCTTAATGTATGGCCCATAAAGGAAATTGTCTGAGCGATTGGTTTTGCAGGTGAAATGATACAGGACGAACAGAAGCAGCAGGAAACAACCACTGTGGATGGGAAAGTGACAAAAATACCGAGTGATTTCAAGGATGCTTATTGGTTGGATAATCTGCATTGCTTAGTTTTTGTTCTTTGTGGTAAATTAATATAGGCTTACAGTTATTTAATTTTGTGTTCAGGTACTATGATCCAAAAACTGATGGTTTCTATTATGATTCAAAAGGTTCCCGTGGCTGGCGTCGACGAAATCCCGCTCATGAAAAGAAGCTACTTCAAGACAGAGTGATTTTTTTGTTATTAAAATTGCAATCTTTATTGAAAGATTTCACGTCACAGAAAGAGTCTGGTGCAATTACTTTCAGAAATATAGTAAGCGTTAACTTCTAGGATGGATTATCGTGCTTGTGGGCTGATTCAAATTTTGTTTCATATGGTGGCGGTGATCCATATGGATATCAGTATAACAGTATCAGTCACTTTGCTCCCCATATTCAGTAAGTTCTTTTCTTTGGATTTTTATTTGCTGTCCTTAGAGTAACTAACCAGAACAGCAAAATATTATTAAACTTATTCTAAATCTGAAAGATTTTCCTATATATTATATATCATGTGGAAGTAACATAAGTTTTTTCAGATATTATGATCCGGAAACTGATGGTTACTATTTTGAAATGCCTTCCGTTGATGGCTGGAAGAAGCGTCAACCACATTCCGTTAGCAGCGCCGTTATGACATCATTAACAGGTTACAGCAGTAACCGAATGATGATGAATCCGAATGCGTTTCCTGTGGTATCAGCGCAGCCAAGCGCTGCTGATGCAATGGATGTACCACGAACATCATACGGTGCTGCTCTAGCTCGAGGACAGTTACCGCCGTGCACTGTTAGAACTAATAATGCTATTACGAGTAGTTCCAGAAATGTTAGTTTTTATCTTGATTTTGAACTTAGTGGCAGGTTCATTTCAAATTTCTTGATTTGAACTTTCTCTATATTTGAATTTTGAAAAAGAGAAATTTATGATCTGTGCTTTTCTTTTTGGTCATGTTTTGTACGATCAGAGATTGCCTATCTCAGTTCCTGTTATATTTTAAAATAAGGCTCTCTACAGCTAAATGGAATACTGAAAGACACTTTTTCGAGTGCTGAGCTATCATTTTCAACGCTTTCATCGAACGATGATTTTGGCGCTGCATCTTCACTGGTATATGTTTGTATCTTCTTTGAACGTTTCGAAACATTTGTGTACGTATTTCTAACCAAATTATGTTTGACGCTCAAAGTCTTAATTGTTTAATGTTTACGAAGTTTAGTAGTGTTTTCATCTGATTAAAAAACCTCACCGAGCCGGCTTAGTAAAAAGTATGACGTAGGAAACCTACGTCATACTTTTTTTTATTAATACTGTGATTGGGAATTTATCAATACTATGATTTTATTAATACTATGATTTTTTTTGGCATAATCTGAAATTCTAACAAATTGCGCTAGTGTTTCTTTACAAAAAATTGATCTTAACGCCTTAGATTTATCTTTTTCACATTCTTTTATATTTATTGGTGTTTGTCTTGTTGTAGATATTGTTTGGCAAGACCTCAACAGAATGGGATAAAAAAGGGAATAGTCAAAGAAACTGCAATACGGGAAAGCCTTTTTCGTATGCAGATATTGTGGCATCACCGTGTGATACAACCGCTAATGTTGATAATATTGAGAACAATCCTCCACTTCAACAGATCACGGCTAGTTTTTTCTTCTTGAATCTCAATTTATCATTTTTGATTTTTCAGTAATTGCATGAATTTAGGTCTGTATTAATATCTCAAAAAAAGTTCTTAAGCGTGGATTCGATTTATCACTGAATTCGTCAAAAAATGAATTTTTTTATTCAAATAACTGAAATTAATAGTTTTTTTATAGGACACTCACTATAAACGACCGGAAACACTGGAATTGCACAGTTTTACGGAAGAAAATGATGTAGGTCGAGTAGCAAATGAACAAGACATAAAAGGATCTGGACTGACTAACTTTAATGCAGATAAATTCATCGCTGACCTCCCATTCAAGTAAATTTTGCTATTCGAGTAGGATAAATTTACTCTTATTATAAATAAGGGTTTAAAGAATAGATACTCGTCTAAAAAACTTTTTTAGTTTCGAAAGTCAAAGTAGTTTTTATGAATAATTTCAGTAGCACGGATCGAGTACTACGAGATTTGGCAGCATTGAAAACACCGTGTTCGGCGCCAGTTTGCAGTATGGATTCTCCTCACACACCATCTGTCATGAAAGGGCTGTATTCACCACTGGGAATACCAAACCAGGACATCGATGCTTACAGTGCTATGTCAGCTTTATTCAATTTTTAATTCAAGTTACTCGAAATTATCATTTATGTTTATTCGGCTGATTCTGCATTTTTTCTGAGCTCTATTTAATTCAATTTTTTGAATTTTAAAATAATTTTATTTGGTTTCTTTATGTTAAAAACTGCATTTCAGTTGCGATATGGAGTTAGTGCTGAGTCAGATTTTGAGCTGTGCTGACGAGAAGGAATGGGTACCAGAGAGAGCCTCTGCAGGGACATCAAAATTAAATTTTTGGCGTAATCCTGGTCTAGTTGCTGGAGTCGCGGGTGTTTCTTGTGACAATGTATAAGGAGCTAAAAAAAATTAAGAAGATAAGTTGATGGCCGCAACAGTTTTCTTGTTTCAGAATTAAAAGGATTGTCATTAGTTTTTATAAGTTTATGAAAAGCTTCAATTCCCAGTTGAAGTCCTAATAATTTCTGGTTTTATTCACTTAGAATCAATTCTGAATTTCTTCAAAAGAAATAAACTGTCTTTTTTAGGTGTGAAGTTTGATTGTTTATTAGGGTTGAGTATACCGTCGTACTCATTCATTTTTTTGTCCGCTTTTAGTGTTTTTTGCATAAACATATCCTGTTTAGGTTCTTTTGAAACAATCACGATTGTTGTCATCGTTATATTTGTTCACGTTTATGTGAATGTTTTAGGGAAGTTAGGCAACAGGAAGTTTTTTGCATTTTCGCTTTGTTCTCTTTTCCAGTTTAAAGTTTTCTCCCTTTATTTTCAGTTAAATTTCTCTGGATGAATTTCTGTCACACGTTATTAGGTCCAAGTTTAATTTTTCTTGAAGATCCGTGTTTCATTTTGGAACTATCTGTAGTATTGATATGAATTTTGATATTTCTTGAGGATTTTATATTTATGTTCTCTAGGTTTACTTACACTATTTTCCATGCTTTTTTCTCATTTTCTAGTGTACAGCATCCTTCTATAGTTCTGGTTATCTCGGTTTCTTAATCCACTTCTACCTGTCGTAACACTTATAATAAATCCTTCACTTTCCTGTATATTTTATATCTTCCTATTTTGTTAGTTTTGATGCCATTAGGCTTTTCTGTTAATTGTATGTCTGGATCTAGATCCATCTCATTTTTTAATATCACAGAATATTAATATTAAAAAGAGATTGTGCGCAGTTAAAACAGAATCAGTCTTCGAAGAAAGGTTCTGTTACAAATAATAAGCCGTTTTTCTTCTGGAGGCACTGCTATAAAATACTTCGAATGCTGTGGTTTGTCTATATTTATTTTCACATGTTTTTGTCACTTTTCTATCTTCACATGTCTGGATCCTCTAAAATTTCAAATCTTTCGATTAGTTTTTATCTCTTCAAAAAATAAAACATTCCACCCGTTTTGGTTTAACATCTTGACAAATGATTGTGAATTTCTTCAAGAATGAACCTAATTTCTGCGTCTTTTTCTGCAAAATGAAAGGAATTGTAATGCAAGAATTAACATTTTTAAATGAATCTTTGCACCGGTGTGATTCTGCAAATCTTTACTGGAGTTTTTATTCTTAAAGTTCATCTGACTTAATTTCTTATGTTTGTCTGATTAATCCATTGCTTCTCTACACAGGCTACTTGATCAATTTCATCAAAATATTTGTGCTTTAAAAACAGGTTATCTTTGAATTCTTGCTGAGTAGCATGGTTCTGAGTAGCATTTCTCTGGAGGAATTTCAAGAATATTTGAATTTTTCAGGGACCGAGGAATGTAATATAATCCGGAAATCTAATTTCGTTGAAGAGTGAAAAACTGATAGGTCCTTGGGTTTTTACGAAATTTCTAAGGTTCCGGAATCTACGTGCTCTTCAGAATGCATCCTCTCTATGAATTATAGTATTTTTACATGTGCCCTACAAGTAATAATATCTGTGTACGATGTGTAAGTTCCAAAAATACGTAATTTTTTTTGCATCCTCCACTGTTCGAATTATTTGATAGTTTCCGTCTATCAAGAAACTTGCGCACTAGGATATGAAAAAGGCATAAAACGTCATTTATTTCATGTTGTTTTACATATTGTACTGATTCCAATGGTCAGTTTCAAGCCACCATCGAGAGTTTTGAAATTATGAAGAACAGAGCAATATTGTGAAAACGTCCAAATTAAATTATATTGCCGTCTTGATCTGATCTGGAGCTGCTGTGAGATGCAAAGGGTTGAAAATTTCGAAGATACAGGATTTATAGAGGTCTGGAAGGGGATTAATGAAAAGGAAGTATAAAACTTAGTCAACTGATTACGCGAGAAGTGAGGGTAACTATTTCCGATTCGACGAGTAGCAATCTTTCTCAAATGCGACGTGACCAGAGTGATTGTTAAGAGAAATGATCATCTTTATTGCTGGAGAAGACCTATGCTCACAACAGTTGAAATTTGGAACTTGTTGCCAAGTACAAATGTTGTACACGGACGATTTCATGTTCTAGGCCATAACTGCCATTAGCTTTTCAAAAATGCCATTTCGTTATATTACTGTTAGAGTTGAATATCAGAGAGTTGGAATAGAAATTTGCATCGTTCCGCACAAAATGATCAATATTGCTACTTCTGACCCCACCACGATGTGCCATTACACAATAATCGGATATTTGATCATTATTTACAAGTTGCTTTCCTTCCCTTATGGTAATTCCAGGTTTTCTCTCCCAGTCTGTTTTCAAAAAAATCCGAGGAAAAAAAACATTCTAAGGAGATTCTTTTTTTGTGGTTTTTTATTTATATAGTTTATTAACATTTAATCAATTTTGTCCTTAATGAGAGAGGTAATTGATCCAAATCGAACTCAAGACAGAGAAGAATGCGATGTTAACTGGTTTTATTTGTTTCCCGAAGGGATCCAGCAAAATGATTTACGAAAGTACCGCCATCGATGTCGACTTTATTTTAAATTTGCTATACGATCAGATTGCCGGACCCGTGCCATGGATAATAAATTGATTTATCTAAGCCCCTCAGCTTTCTGCATTTTAGCTTTCGACTGCAATTACTATTCATAAAAATCCCTATAAAAGTATATCGAAATGTACGACAAGATGATGATGATACAGAACAAATAAAATGCTTGTCCAACACTTACAGAGAATGACAGATGACAATTCATCAGCTCCACCACCGTACAATCCTTCCTCAAATAATGAACCGAAATCAGCAATATCCAAGACATCTCAGGATTATCCACAATCAGTGCAATTGCTGCGACAGCCACAATATCCGTTATCGCCATCTGTGCAAAAATGCAGCTTCCCATCCTCGATTAATCCGCCGATGCAATCACAAGTAGAACCAATCATCATGCCGATTGTAATGCCACAACGTGATTTTTTGCTGAATTTAAAAGTCCTTCATCTCAAGAGTTCCTTCCTTAAAATGACATCCAAAATAGAAGAAATCTATGTGAGTTTAGCCTATTTCCCTCTTAATCAGTTTCATGATTTTTTTAGCCATAACATCATATCCATGTCAACAACCAATGTCGGATAAACCAATAAATGTCGTGGTCAATGCTAACAATAGAGCTGAAGATGACAGTTCTGCAAGAGATTACAGGATATGTAATTTCTGCAAACGTGGAATCATGACAAAGAAGAAGTATTAGGCTATTTCGCTTTTACTTAATCTCTTCCTTGGTCAAGTAACTAAGCTTATTCGAACTTTTGTATTTGTCTACACTTTCTACCCATCACGATTTGTGAAAGTTATTTAGGCTATTTCTGTATAACTACCATGTATGCAAATTCTTCTTCCTTTTGTCTAAATGCGCTAGCTCCGACTATTCCTAACGACTAACCGATTGTTCTGATTTTTCAGGGATTGGTTGAAGGTCGTAGCAATCTTGCTTGTTAGTATGCTCTTTCCACCGCTTTCATTTTTATGTTGTTTTTTCCTATGCACTCACGTGATCTACTTCGGCGAATGTTCTACCTGTCATCGTATTTCAAAACAGCATAGGTAAGTCCTTTCACTGCTTTCATTTATTAAAAAAAGTCTGAATTTCAAAAGGCTTTATAGCAGGCCACTCAACTCCATTGAGTCTTCCCACTCGTTTTCTAAGCTGAATTTCACCTTTGACAGTTTAACTTGGACATCAGTCCTTTTTTTCCCAAATTCATTTGACCTAGATTTCGATTCTACGAAACACAGATATGTCGGTACTAAAGTTCAGATTACGTCGCACTTGCTGGATAAGTTTGTTTCACCCTCTCTAAATTTCATTTGCATCGAAAGAAAAGTTTGAATAATTATGCAGTTGTCTGTGAAAAATAAATTCTGGGACTCTGAAATACAAAAACTGCTTGCAGTGTATTTTAAACCGGCCTAGAAGAACAGTTACTCGGCGTCAGAAAACCATCCAACTTCTCTCTGTATTTGGATCAAAGATTCATTCATGTAGATTAAAAATGTTTCATAAATTATTTTTTTAAATCCGTTTATACTTGTCGTTACTATTTTGTAAATTATCGAAGTAAAATTTTTCATTCACCTCAGGAAATCTCAGCCAAATAAATTACCAATTCGAAAGGACTCTATGATTTCCAAACCTAAGTTAAGCTAGTAGATTTCATCCGAAGAAGCCAGGTCTCAATTTTGTATCTCAGCAACAATTCCATTGTGAGAAAGTAAAAAAATGAAATGGTTTTCCGAAAACAAAGAAAAGCATGTAGCGCAAAATTATTCTGTCAAAATTTTAACTCTCAAAATTTTTTAAATTTTATTCAAGAGTAGTTAAGTATTCCATTTTGGCGATACTAAACAATCTAAAACAGAGGCATCCCATCCAATAATACTCATCGGATTCTCACCTTTACCAAGGAATTTAATGATGGCAATATTTAACCTGTATATCGTTCGTAAAAATTAGTGTCTTGTATTCACCAGCCCTAAAATTCCCGATTCCAAAAAACTGGATTTGAAAATGAATGACAGTTCGGTATATTTGGCAAAAAATATTTTTACACAATCGTATCATAATAAAACATTTCGAACAAAACATTTAAACACAAAATACAAGAAACATATATTAACTCCCTTTGAAACGTTTGGCGTCAGTTTCGTGTTGTGAATCCGTTGATGACGCTCCCAAAACTGGTGCAGTTCCTGGAAAACTTAAAGGGCCACTAGAAGACTCTGCTGTGCTTCGATGAGCCGGAATCAGAGGAACGCTTGATGGTGATGTAAAAGCAGGCTGTTGGCTGATTTCTGACGTTGAGTCTTCCGTTGCCGTCAAATCTTGACTGTTTATAGAGGAATGCCGTATAGATTTCTCAACTATACTGCTAGCTGCAACTGCATCATCTTCTGCTGATACTTCACTTCCACCAAAGTTAAATTGCTAAAAATATCTAGCAGTAATGAACGAATGAAACGTTGTGTTTGATATCTTATGTTATATCCGATAAAAACATTAAACTGTCAATTTTAACTTACGTTTTTCAAAGTATCAAAAACTGCGAAGATGAAAATATTCGGAGACAATAATAAGTTTGAAAGCTTAACAAAGGAAGACGCTGAAATATGAAACTCATACAACGTCGTCAGGAGGTGGAAATTTGGCAAAAAGTTCCCGTAATATCTGATCTGTCCGAGTCCGCTGATAAAAAGTACTTCGGGCAAGCTGTGGCTTTTCCTCTTCTTCTACTGCCTGAAATAATCAAATTTTTGATTACGAAGCTTTAAAGAGATGCAGGACAGAAACAAGTTCCTGACACTTGATAACTTACTTTTTTGATAGTTTCACCATTAGAATCTTTGAACTCCCAGTAATATCCTTTAGCAATGTTGAATCTGAAAATATCCCGGAACTCATAACCTATAGAAGTAGCGAGTGAGTGTAATATATAAATTTTAAATAACTAACTTTGATATTACAATTTGTAGACAGTCAAAAATAAGCAGTAGAAATGACAGAAATTGCTGCCACAAAACAGATAAGGAAATTACCTATTAAAATTCCGAGCTTGTTCAAGCGCTTGTCGAAGTGGATCAACAATACTAATCAATTTTGATTGAATGTATGTATAAATATCCGGACATTGATACACTGTCCCATTCACTATATAGTAATAAGCCAGAGGTGTAACTTAAAGAATAAGTGGTTACTGTTTACAATGCATGTTTAAAATCAGTAATTAGTGATTTGAAATAAGTAATTTGTTAGCAATTACAGGTGTATTTATTACAGTACATTTTTGAATTCAGTAGGATTTGTTAGTAACTGTAGCAAAACGACTTCTGCAACATATGTACATAATATTAACAATTAATGATGCAAGATTACCATTTGTAGGGCTATTCCGACGCTGTTTCATTATAACATATAAGGGAGGGAATGTGCCAACAACTGTATATTGGATGCCTTGCATAGACCTAAAGAATACGGAAAATTTTCCCACTGACACTAGTTTACATGCAAACTTTAAAATTGAAACTAATTATTCGAAAAATTCAAGAAAATATGAACTAAAAAGCAAGTTTTACCCCCGAATCAAAAATAGAATCTCGGACTTCGACTTACTGTAAACAATCATGTAAAGGTCGATTGAGATTTTGCATTCTAATATGCTGATTGCATGAAGAAACATCGTAAAAAACATTTCCCGGATCGCAAAAATAATCCAAAACATTATCAGGAGTTATAAAATTTGGAGGCCAATTCGGATTTTTGAATGACTGATGAAGCATGGAAACAGTTTGCTGGTATGCAGAACCAGGCTGTGAAGCGACATTTGATACACCCATATAGGTACCTGCCCAATAAAATTATTCTTGCTGTGATATAAAGCTGATGTGAACAAAAAAAATTTGATTAACTCGAATGAAACAACAATTGTATAAAAATCAAGATGTAAAATTTCATTTCCTGATTACTAATACTTGTTATAACCGGAAAAACATATCCGTTGAGAATCAATCTTTTTTAATTTATGAAGGATAACAGAAAAAGATAATGCCTGTTAAAAGCTCTCAAAAAGTAGAGACCACAACTTCTACTCATTACAGCAAGTGGTTGATATAGTAAATATTAATTTAATCTACAGTTTTGCGCGACTTTTGTACTCCACCAATAATTTTCATATCCCAACAATACGTTTGGAAAGCATTAAAACTGAACCGATAGCCTCTTAAAGTTTATAGCAACAGAACAATTCGGGCAAAATTTTAATAATACATTTAAAAACAGTTAAATACTCTAAATTTTACAGTACCTACAACTGCGTTATACTCCGAAAAAAGATCAACTTAGTAAAAATGAAGTGATACGATGAAATTTAAACCTAGTTAACCTCATTTAAATATCTTGAGATTCCTTTTATTACGAATTATTTCAACGACGGTAAACGAAATATACACTCCAACCACTGATATGTCATATGCCGAGCTGTATCAAAATCTTCGAAACAGAAAAGATACAAACAGAAGCAAAAACATCAAGGTAACAATGTAAGCACCAATAAATATGGAATACCTTGCGACTGTCCCATTATGACAGATCGACCCGTTCCACCTGTCTGCATCATTTTCCTATTCTGCAATACTACCGATGTATATTACGGAAACAAAACATCGCACCCAATCTTTTACACCCTTTGCCTTCCTACGAATTCAAGTACTCATAGACGTAAATAACTCAATAATATGATATAAATAAGTAAATAACTCAATAATATGATGTAAATAACCAACACAATATTAAACACAAAAATGTTATTTATTCAAAAATGATCATCAAACACAAATACAATAAACCAAATGAAACCTGAAACTTTATTTATCTGTTAGCTACATCATTCTTTTGTTACTGTGGCATTTTACAATATTAATTAATTTCCGCAAAATATAAAAATAACTCGAATTCTGATGTGTTTCAATTACTACTAGTGAAATCATAGAGATGAAATCATGTACGTTAAACGAATGAAATCATGTATATTGAAAACTGCAGGCTGCAGATGATTATTTCTGAAGCGGTTATACAAGTAGTTAACAGTTAGGCATTAAATTTAAATAATTTCAGCTTTCTTTAATGTCTGACACATAGTTGAGATTTTATACTGATAACAGTTCAATATCATTCAGTCAAAATTTAGCAGTATAATCAAAATTCAAGTAATCACACGGCTCGATTGTCTCATCTTTCCCAAGCAACAAATCCCAATGCAAATGCGAACCATGTGATATTCCTGGAGGTCCACGATTTATCTGAGACGCTGCTTTCAGTTCTCTGAAAAAGAACAATGCATTTTCAAAGAAATTTTCAATAAACACTAATATAAATTGCAAACTTCATAAGTAAATTTTGCGCTAATCTTAACTCACGCAGAAAAATTAAGAAATGAAGAAAAAGAAAAAAAAATTAAGCAGAAAAATTAAGAAAAAAAAATTATTTCAATTTCTCTCCCAAAGGTGCAAGTTAAACAAAACTTAGGATATTATTCCGCCACAAAATCAAGAACTGTTTCAAATAAAATTATTAAATTATAAAAAGTAAGAAGTTATCCTGTGAATCAATATACCCTTAACAGTTTTATTGATCATTAAATGATAGAAGTCAATCCATCTGTCAAGTTATTATCAGAGTAGCTTCCAGCGCTGAATCCTATAGAGGTCGACAGAAGTGTCGCAAGAATGTACATATATCGTTTACCTCACGAAATGCTCAGCATATGCATTTCCACCAACTGCACGACATTCATCGATAACATTTGCAACAGTTCTGCGCATTCGAGAATGTTCGCTTAATAGTTCATGATCATTCCGGTTTGTCACCAAATCTGCAAATATATATAGGGCAATAACAAGTGGGAAAGATCGGACAAAACGAAAAGAAGACAGCTTTAAAGTCTTTTCAATTACACTTAACATCAATAAAAAGTATTGAGCAGGTCTTTTCTTTGATCGAATAATTAATGTTATTAACAATTTTTGAATACAGTGATGGATATATGACAGAGTGCGATGAACAGTACATAAGCAGTGGCAAAGAAATTGATTTGCACTAGTTGAAATAACAGATAGTTGTTATTCTATAATTTTACTTTTTTTTCGGTTCAATTTTTATTTTTTAGATCTATGAAAAATTCTTGTATTTACATCATTAGCCTAATAATGAAGCTATGTTTCGTAGCACTGGTAAATCTATTCCTAATTACAATGTATTTGCGTCAGTTTTAACAAAATTAGATCAACGCGTAATTAACAACGAATATGCTATTTTGTGAAGCTGTCAATTCTTGATACCTGCAAGGGAATATTTATGAAAGCAACCAACAAACAAAACATATCTCTTGATATTAAAAAAAGTTGGAAAGTTTCAAAACTAACGTTTGGGTGCTTTCAAATCTTTTTTGTATACAACTGCAGATTGATTCATTGACTTCTTATCGTCAAGTGGAATCGAATGTGATATCTGCTTTAAACTATCAACCATTAGCAGATCTGGTTGGATTTTTGATAATGAATCTATTGACATTTTCCTTAACCTGAAAAAAAAGTGAAAAACTTGACTTCACTTATATGATGAACCCCAAATTTTTCCAGCCGTAACTGCTTTACTTATCGCTGAGCAAAAATTTTTTCAAGGCACTAAAAACGGCAATCATCTCATACAACGTTACAGTATGAAATTATGTCTGGTACTTGGAGCGATAGCATTTGCCATCGAATCAAGCAACTGATAGGATTTTACAGTATCCTACTAGAAAGCATCTAAAGAATTAAAAAGAGCAAATAATGAGAAAGAGTAAAGTGCGCTTTAAAGTAGACACACTTTTACAAATCAACACTTCGTGCATCCATGCAGAAGTCACCATTCTTCCTCTCTTTCCATATTATTTTATTTGCTTACTGATATTCTCTACTTTGCTGTGGCATGTCTGTGATAGTTTTTGGCTGGTCCATTAATTGGTTTACATAGTAGTAATGTTTAAGGAGTTCATGTTGAATATATCATTATCCCTATTTTAAAGGTGAAATACTTTGAACAATGCGTATCTGTCTTTCCATCTTCTTCCAACATCATAAAGATAACTTTCTATGGAGCATATTAAATTACGCAAGAAGAAGAGTTAGAAAAAATCCATTACGGCAATAAATAGGTGTTTGTAAATTTCTCACGATACATAAAATAATATTGCATTAATCGTCTATAGAAAATGGACAACGAATTAAATGAATATGTATTAAGAAACGATAGTCAAATAAGTAAGCGTAGTTATAAAATCTGGGAGAAAAAAGAAAGAAGTAAATCGAGACAATGAAGGGAACAGAGTATCTGTGACTCTCGCTACAGCCCTAATGACGAACACAGTAATGAGACCTCTGTAGCCAAATGAATTAACTTCTTCTTCTTCCAACTATGGATCGCTGTTTCAATAATTTACCAGAAATACAGGCAATGTCCATACAAATTAAAACAAACGAAATAGGCGTGAGACTCCACTTTTCATTGCTACTAAGCAATCAGTCCACGCCTCTTTGAAAGACAATGATGGCAACGATTGACTGATTGTGAAAATGTCAATCCCATTCATCAAATCCGAAAAAAAATTTTCGAGTCGTCCCTCCTCGGTGTGTGTTTCTTTTTTTGTTTCTGATGTTTTAGTTTCATGTCTTGTTTTACAGTGTGTTCCAATGAAAGAATTAAACAAAGGAATCGATCTTGTTATTGTATAGTTTCATAGACCTTTTCTTTGTGAATGGTAGCAATTATCAAACATTTCAAACAAAGATCAATACAAGTAAAAGAGTTATCAAAGTTAATGTAATTAACTGTGACAGTGGTTCATGTATCGTTCAAAGAAATCTCGACTTCGTTACCCAACAACAGAAATAATTTTTTCCATAGGAGGACGAAGTTGTTCGGTGACACAAGTAATATTTTTTCGTCAATGCATTTCCTGTCCAATGTGCGTAAGTGTAAATATTTTGAAGTCTCTTCAATGTATTTCTCATTTTTGCATACTATGTTGAAAATAAGTCATGTTCGGTACTGGGAAAGTCAAGAAGCTGGACTGAATGCTGTTCGATCCAACTTAATCATCTTTCCTCTTTGCTTTTTATAAGTCCCTAAATAAAAAGCAAAATATCGTTAATCTGAAGTGAACAATAAATAATATTACTAGTAGCAAGTGAAAGCGACAGTGTGAACTCAAATTAATGCGCTGTACAGATCTAGACTGGGAGAACCATAATCCGCATAGCGTGAAAATGATGTTCCACCGTTAACATAAGATTTCGAATCACAGCAGCCAGTATTCGTAATACAATATAAATATAGCAATATCCTTCTAATTTATTTTCAACTGAGCTGTATCTGTAACTCATCATCCCAGTCGTATGGTTCATCCATCTTCACACCGTAATTTTTCATTGCCAGTTGTAGCATTTGCGTTAAAAACTTGTGATCTGGTTGACTGTGGTATGTTAAAGAATCGATGTAATTCAGGATACGCCGGAACTCAACCTGTAACAATATTTGACTGTTATTTTTCTCCATTTTTAGCAGCGTAATCCTCGAGAATTTTCAAATCCGAGAAAGGTTATGCAACGACTGAAACATGTAGTTTTCATCATTGAACCAGTCGTCAGTTATTGGAAGCGTAGAGAAGTGATTAGTGATTAGTAGATAAAGAAAAAGAGTTGTACAACTATACAAGCTATTACGCACTACAAATTGATGTGTAAAATGAACGTATCTTGAAAATAAGTAACAACGATTACCTTCTATTAAATTTTCAGTAACGGGAATTTTAAAGAAGATAACCTTAGGGCAATCCTTGAGAAGTGTCTTAAGTGCATCCGATGATCGGCATTGTTCTTTCTTACACTGTATTTCTTTACGGTCTGTTCGATCAATGTTACCCCATGGAAGTTCTCCTGAAATATTGCAGTTTAACATAGCGGATCTTTAGTTCTTAGTATGGGATTTTGTAGCACACTGTCATTACTTTATGTTCAGGTAAGAGTATCATTCTGATAAGTTTTTCTATGTTTATTATTCTAATGATTATACCAGAAATCATTTCGACAAGCATATAGAACCACGATTCAAGGTCATCTTTTGGTGATATTTCTTCCTCTCGATGTGCTGCCAGTGACGCATAACGTGAAGTCCCTCTGCAAACTCTCCAATTTATCTAAATTTCTGTTTTCAATCAAACTAAATAAAACTAACTTTAAGCAACAAAAACGATTCTGAATTGATCCATTTAAATCAAGCACTTTTCTATCAATGTCTTAGTAAATTATATGGTAGCTTTCAAATCATAAGAACTCTTATTACACCGCTTGGATTTCACAAAAAAAAAAAATAAATAAAAATGTAACCTAAATGAAGTTTTATTCCTAGGTGGTTTGATTCCATCCTTAGGATTTCGATACATTCGACAAAGTCCGAAATCAATTATATACACATTCGTCTTCGGTTCAGAAGGATCGCTTATTGCGAAATTTGATGCCTAGAGTTTTTAGAAATAACTTACTCTGAAGACTTCAGTTTTCTATTCAAAAAAGTTCAGTATATGATTATAAATTCAAACTTAAATTTTTAGTTCTAGAAAGTGATTCGATAAAGTTTTTGTTTAAGAAGTGTGAAAGCAGTTTCAACTTCCCTAAAAAATGCAATATGTTTATCGGAATTAAAATTTTTAATTCCAACTAGTCATGCGAGTATGCGATGATAAATGAACGTGATAAACATATGAAAGATGTGAACGAACTTTGACATCCCTATGGACAAAGCCCATTGAATGCAGCTCCTCCAACGCAGTTAGTGTCTGAATTCCAAGTCGCAGTGAAGTTGATAACGAAAAATGACATTCAACAAATGCTCGTCGCAATTTATGTAGATTGTCACCGAGCTAAATGCAACCTTTGAAAGAGAATTAGTGAATGGGAGGATCAGTATGTGATAACTATGCGACAACTGCTAATGTGCTCACAATTGACCTTCCATCAAATAAAATAAAAAAAACAAAACAAAAAACAGAATACTAATTCAAAACTAACTAAATCCCCTTAATTTACTTTGTTAAAGCAAGTTTTTGTGGATTCCATCATATCCAAAATCATAGCTATAGGGCAAACAGAATATCTTTAGCAAGTGACCATTTTCATGATGATGAATTTGAAATATCCTTCGATTTTACCCTGATCGATCAGGCTTGCAATATGTTCACATGGGACTTTTGAAGCTTGTAGCAAGACAATGTAATCCATATTCAGTCCATGGGAATGTGTGTCGCATATTTCTAACTTTGCCGCAAAACGTCTTCCATCCGTACGCCTTAAAACCTACAAAAGAAGAATTAATGCAGAAGAATTTTTGCTTTGCATAAAAGTTTGCTACATATAATTGTGTGAAATTTCCAAAATTTAATAAAAGACTCTGCATTGTTTTAGTAAACTTAACAATCAGTTTAAAATTTCGAGCTTTCGGAAACTTTCTTAATCACAAAAGTAATTATAAAATAAGCAGTTCAAATTTCACGTGCTCTCTCATTCACCTCATATACCGCACCAAATCGTCCATGAGAAATTAATCGGCCGATGGCGAATTCAAAATTCTTCCCTTTGATTAGGATATTTTTGTTAGGTAATCGATTTGTAATATAGTTCTGGTCCTTATCACAACTTCCCTCGCGCGAATTATCACTCACCGAATCCATCTTCCAATAACTGTTATAACAAATTATATGGGATGGATGTTGTGAAAATGGCCTTAAAAACTTGCAGAAAAAAAATAATATTTCAGAAAACTATCGTAAGGGCCTAGCAAATAACCTAAGAATAACAAACATTTCAATATGAAGATTAATAGGTTTAACATAATTGTAAAGCTCGATAGCTTTTTAAGGAGTCTGTTTAAGAACGCTTCTTATGAAAACTTTTTTAGCAAGGTCAAGTTTAATGATGCACTTACTTAAGTATTCTACTAAACTTGGCTTTGCTGAAAAAATAGTCTTGACCAAATAAATCATATTTATTTTGAAGCTAAACTTGAGTTCGAAATTGTTGCTTTGAAGATCTACTTATGAATTGTTTCCGACGGCTAATTGCTAGGCTAGAGAAACTTCGAAAAAAGGAGAGCAAAGCTTCGAAAAATGTTTTAAAAAATTTTTCATGATATAAAACTGTTTGCTATACACAAGTGGAAATGTACTTCAAAAAAGTCTCAGGTAAATAGCTAAATTAAAAGTTAAAAATGGCTGGAATATAGACATTAGACTGAAGGTGAAAATGTAATTCATCTTTTATTCTTTCAAAAATTCTTTTTTACTTAGTTAAATCACACAGTATCACTTTAAAAGCTCAATTATAATTCCTTTTCGTCCCCATTAAGTTTGAAAAAAGGAAACACATTGATATGATGTGTCTGTTTTCAATGATTCATTGTATATACTTCTAAGCTTCTTATCCTCTTTCCTTTCTCTTCCAATCATATTTAGCAATTTTATCTCAAAATAACGAAAGAAATCACTTTTCGCAATAAGAAAAAAGTAAAAAGTTGAGTATTAAATATGATAAAAAGGAATAGCAAATCCACCGATCGATCATCCAACTCATCTTCATCTGTCAACTTTTTGACTTTTATTTGCTTACTTGATTGCACGGTATCTTGGCGAAGTTTACTGGAGTTGAAAACTAGTTTGTTGGTCGATGAATACCTCATTACTCATTGCTAATATTACTGATAGAGCTGTCAGAGGACTTATAATTCTCGACTATCACGGAAAAGAAATTTCAAATCAAAGATGTACATGATAAGATGAAAAAGTTGATAGGAGTGAATGCAATGATTTGGCAGAGTTGCAGAAGAATTTTCTAAAAATTCTCGACAGATGTTGACATTAATGTCAGCCCATGTTGTTTAAGATACAATTGTTTTCGAGTGAGAAAATTTCAGTTGCAAATGAGTTAATACAAAAAAGTTTTTCTCTTTTTTGTTCAATTCCTAACGGCGATAATAACATTTCCGAGCAGTCTCAGGTGTTCAGTTTTGGTTCTAGCAATGGAAAGTGGAAAAACAAAAACAACCGGATTAGAATGAACTGCCAAGAAGTCCGGTGCAAAACAGACTGCTCGAACTCAAGCAATAAAATAGCTATGAAACAGCTCAGTAGCTTACGTCAAAGAATTAGCAGAACTTTCTCCCTCCCTCTATACCAACCTCTCTTCCCCTCACATCATCTCCCCCGTGTTTGCCAGGGTGGAATTGCTGCAGCATGATGAGAGAACCATCTGCGCTCCCCTCCTGCCTAACTTTTCCATTAGCTTACTTTAATTCCCCTTCATATTGAGCTAGGGCTTTTTGAAAGTATAAATTATTATCGAATTAATTTTAATTTCAAACTTTTGCAATTATATGCTAATAGGTAATTACATGTTAATAGGTATTATATGCTAATAGGTATCATGAGATTTTGAGAATTATTCGCTGCTAATTGCTTCCCGAGAATAATTGCCAGATGATATCGAAATGTATATTTAAAATTGTGGAAGCCAAATCAGTTGTTTTTATATATTTTCATTTCATTTATTATTTAAATTTTACAAATTTAGTGAGTTACATCAGATAATTTAATTACCTTGTAAATCATGAAAAGAACTTTTTTGCTGGCGTCGTAGCTGTCATCATTTATTATACTTCCTGAAATCAAAAGAAACTTTTATCTTTTCCTTATCCTTAAAGAGTAAAATCTAAGGGTTAAAGTAAAATGTAAGGTTTCAAGTTAGCTTAAAGATTTGAAAGCGCTGTAATCGTTATAACACATATGTTAGAGGTCCTTCCAGGATTTCAAATGTTGCTCAGCTCGAATCACATATAAACCGTCTGTGAAATAATTTAGCGGCTGGCATCAGAAATCTTTTTCATCATTGATGTGACCGTATTCGGTATGCTAATGTTGATTTTAGTTACGAAGAAATAATATGTTATGATTATAAATATTGTTGCGTGAATAGGATTCCTTATAGCAAGTTGAAAGGTCATAAAGGAATTATGTTCTTCAGGAACAGTGGGACAATTTTCTAATTCACGCCTGATGTCTCGTATTTTGTGCTGAAAACGGAAAGTTCGGGATAGAATGTCAGTGCTATGATTTGGAAAAATAAGTTTGCATGCGATAATTTTATTATTCCAAACAGATTTTCGGAACAACTAAAACAGGATTTGCAATGAGTTTGGATTCTTGAAATCGAATAATAAAATTTGATGCGACGAGTAACTTTCGATATGATGAACAAAAACTTGTTTAGAAATCCCTCTTAGATCTTTTAATTATGAAAAAATTAATTAACTTAATTTTAATTATTTAATTATGAAAAATTTTTTAATTATCGATTGCTTAGTTGTAGTAATGCCTCGAAATATGATTATTATTTCCTTAATGGTCGAAAACGTACGTGAATTCTGAAACGTACGCGTACTGTGTCTTTGTGAATCAACCTCGCAATTCCGGTATTCCGGTAATGTGTTGTAACAAATTTTTGATCAATTAATGCAATCAAAGATTTGAAATTGATGAGCTACTCAATAATGACAACCTTTATTCCTATTGCTTTTGCTTTTATTTCTTGTAAGATTATTTTTAAGATTAGCCTGGCTCACATATCAACTATCCAATTATTTTTTGGTTGCAAGACAAAATGGTTTTTGATGTATGAATGGATCATCTTATAACTGCTATTATGGGTAAAATTATGATATTATTCAAAAAGTACTCAATGATTTGAGAGAGTAATTCGCTCTAATTCTTTCGTTGACTTAATAAATTTATTTCATCACTTATCATATTATATTATGTCAAACATAACCTTACACAGAAGATTTATAAGTAGTTTTTTGAATAAATATATGAAATCATTAAAGACGACGACTTTTTTCCATGCATACATTATATTAACTTAGCAAACTTACTTACTAATACATTTCTTTGGATCAGTTGGAATAATCTTCAGCAATAAGACTGAGCAAAATCACAACTTTTGTTTCATTATATTCGGACCGCTCTAGCGCATGCTGTCAACAAATATATCGTTATAAGCCTAGTAACCATATCATTCAAGTTGCATATGTCTACAAGTTTCGAAGAAGTCTGAAAGGTTTGTTTACTGCCACCATCAATCGTTTCTTTTTAATGATCATCTATTCCCCGAATGATCGGTCGTATAATCGAGTGGAAATCAATTCCTTCAATTTACATCATCTTTGCTTAAAATTTTATTTGAACAAAGAAATTCCGGGGTCGAGGGATTAATGTATGCCACTGAAAAGTGTAGGAATTGAAAAAAATAGTGCATCAGTGAAGTGAAACAAATCAACTTCTTTTATTGCTTTACCAAACGTACTAATTATGCACTCGAAAAGTGAAAACAAATATTGTGGAAATAGAAATGCTATCAAAATTTATTTTTCTTATTTTAGAGAGGAGAGGTTCTTCCTTCGAGATATTAACTGAGTACAGATTATCTTTCCGGTAATCAGTTCAAGATTTATCCTAGATGTGCATGGTTGATTTCTTAATGAGAAGCTTAAAAGTAGATTGTGATTCAAAAGTGAAACGTAGCTCAAAATTTATTAAAAAAATCTTAAAAAGTGTGATTTGAAAGGGTACTTTGCAAATCGAAATGCTGTCTGGCAATTTTCAAGTTAAATTGAAAATGAGGAAATAGAAGAAAATATTTGATCACATAAATCAATTTTCGTTTGGGAAAAATGGATTGAAAGGATGATCAATGAATAAAATAAGAACTTGTTTCGCCCATTGCTTGACTTTTTTTATTGTAGAAAATTTAAATAAGAAGTTCTTGATTGGAATTGAAAATTAGTTTTGCAAAACGATCATGGAAAGAGATATAGAAAGCTGAAACAGTTTCATTAACAAAAACAACATATGAGAATGTAAACTGGCCACGAGATTTGGTGATCGCAAAAATGTTTTTGAATTTTTCTGCTAAAGTGAAATTCTTTAAAGTCACGGTTCGCATTTCATTTATTAAATTTAGAATTCTAAACATCTCCAATTTGGTATGTACGTGAACCTGTTTTAATAAATCAAATAAGGGCAAATTAATTGTTAAAATGGAAGACCGAGACAATTGGTTCTGCGCGAAAACTTTTGACTTAATCTTCTAGATGTTTCAAGCTATTCGAGTTAATTTGACCGTCATGGAAAACAGTCCTTACTTTCTTCTGATTTCAATTTACCACTGTCGTCCTTATTCCAACTTCCTGCCAGATTTATTTGCATTTTGGAGAAATTTTGGAAATCGACATTTGATTAAAACGAAACATAATCAGCACACCTTATCTCCATCGCGAGTAAACACGAAGAAGTTCTGTGATAAAGAAAAATATAAAGAATCATAAGTGAATGTGTAGTGTTGTATTAATTTGTATGTACCAACCATATGGATTGTGACTAAGATTAAAAATCATTCAAAGTTTTTGCTGTATGAGTAGAGTGCTATCATTGCATAGAATTGTACATGAGCTCATTATTTAGCAATCTACCCCGAGAGCCTTACATTTAATGTACTGCTTTATCAACATGAGCTAATGAGCTAACAAAGGCGCTAATCCTTGTAATCGTAAAACCAATCCTTGAAAGATGTACATATAAACTGTGCAAATAGCAGGACGATATTCTTCTTTTCGTTTATTCCCCAAATTGTTGTCCTCGAAATTCATCTCATGGCGACATTTTTGGAATTAACTTTATGCATTAATTTTGTTTTGTAATTCTTAATGATTACGCTACGCTAATATTTTTTCATCTATCTAATTGGTTTAATTACCCAAGTTTGAGGTGGAAATAAAAAAATTTGCAACTCTGCCTCACGTTGCGCAAAATAAGTTCAAGCATACAAAAAATTTTCCACTTTTATCTCCTCTTGATATTATCAATAAAAAAGTCCATAGTTTGTTCAAATTACTTACTATGAAGTGATACTATACTTTGCAAATATGATCTGAAAACCAAAGATCAGTTCATGACAACTCGTTGAGATTATCCTCAAATATGGTTTCAGTGAACATTTTCCTGACAAATATTACAGTTCTATAGACCAACTATACCGCATCCTTCATCATTTTTACATCAGGTATCTGTCAAACTAATTTATGCAAAAAAAAAAAAAAAAATTATTACTACATCACATTAATCCACTTTTTTTATTTATGAAAATTTGCCAAAATTTTTACAGAGGGGATTTCAGTTCCTTTTGAGAAGAAAAATCTCTCGCGACACTATTGTTATTCAATGGTTGAGGAAATAATTATCACACCGTTATCGCTTTTTAAATATCAAACACGCTGTCGTTTTAATTCAATCTTTTAAAACTTAAATTTGTTTCATATTATCAACCTTAAGTGCAATAAAATTATGAGAAAACAGTGTGGTAGTATACATTTCACTCAATATAAATTATCTGTCACTTATCAGTGTTGCATATGAAATAAGCGCTATGTCACAGCTTATCTTAGTTCTCCACTTATTGCGAGACATGTCAAATTCTGTTTTTCAAATGAAACCGCTTAACAAAAAATTTCTGATCAGTGTTACTTCACACACGCATACACATACACACACACACATACACACACACACACACACATACACACTCACACACAGACAACACAACACACAAACAACATAGGCAGAGGCATACGCAGGCATTGCAAATCTTGAATTTGCAAATTACAGCGGCTTACTGTTTCGGAATTGCCTTTCTTTTAGTGATGGCTTTAAAATGCAATATTTGGATGACTTTGCCGCACTTTTGATCGGTCATTTCAAATTTCAATTAAAAACAAATTTTTAAATGGACAAAGTGGCATAAAGTATAAGAGGTAGGAAAGTAAGGATCTCGAATAAGAGATAACCATATTCTAAAACCGCAAGCTAGATAGCCATATTCTAATGATACCGTAGTTGAGATAACCTCAGGAGAGCTTCAATTCCCATTCATTCTGCGCTACTTATCATTTTATCTTTGTTTATGCCAAAATTCATCATAGTTTATTTTCGGTCTCACCGTTTAATAACACAGTTTGCTCAATGGTAATCTTCGATTCTTGTTTCTCTAAAAACTTTGCAGGTCTCCCTGAAGCTATAATCCTCGGTCATCTGCATTCAATCATCACTCTCTGTACCTGCTTACTTTTCTTGTCAGCATCTTCCTAATATCAGCACCAATTCTTCATAAGAACTGCTTTTCATTTAACATCGTTAGAAGAACTTTTCCCATAATTTATTTT